ACACACACACACACACACACACACACACACACACACACACACACACACACACACACACACTTGTACTTCTACCTGACTGATGAGCCTCACTGACAGAAAGCCGTCCTAAATTTTATTCCAGCTGTCCAAAATCCGGCATTAATCTAATTCGAACTTGAAGCACCTTTGGAAAGTTTTGACTTCCAAGCCACACGCACTTTTCTCCTGACTTTTCCACACACCCGCCACTCATCTGTCAGCACATGCAGACGCTCTCTGTACACTCAATATACGCTCCAGAGTCCTAACCTCTACACAAAGGGCACCCTTTGAAGAGGGCTGCCTTTAGACACACAAGAGCACACACACATATAGACACACACACACACTCTCTTTCAAACGCACACGGGGACAGAGATTGGTTTTCAAGGACCTAAATATAGGGCACCTCTTCTCTGCTGTCGCTCAAACGTAATACAGACAAAAGGCTGCTCGGAGACATGCTGTCTCCAAAGGAGACCCAGACACTCTGCTGACCCGCTGCTGACCGCAGCATGAAGGCATGGGTGAGAGTGTGTGTGTGTTAATGTGTGTGTATGGATGAGTATATCGAGTGTAGTGCGGTGACCTCTGTGTCAGGGATGAGTCATAGTCATGATAACTTAGGACAGGTGTGTGAGTTAGCATTCTATATGCTGCTTTCAATTAGTATTGAATAGAAATGGCCTTATTTGTCCCACAAAGGGGAAATTCAGGTGTCGCAGCAGCATCAGAAATATAGGTTCAGATAAAAAGTTTGTTGAAAACATGTGTAAAAAAACAAGATTAACACTAACAACAATACTACTACTAATAATAATAAACTGTCCAAGATTATAACAAAAGATGTTGTACAGCTAATAAAATAGAAATAACACTCAAAATCCAAGTGATGTGCAATTAAGTATGATGACTTTTTTCAAAATGTACATAATGCGTATGTGTATTGATCTTAAAAATATGTAGATTATTTACAATACAGTAGGTTGGTACAGAAAAAAAACAGATGTGCAAAAACAACAGAAATGTAGTTTGAAAATGAGTGCAAATGATCCATATACAGTAAGTACATAAAGTTCTAACTTTTTTTTTTTTTCATGAAAAAAAAAAATAAAGTTCTAACATTGGTGTTAGCTGGTTTAGCTTTTGGAAATGTTTCCAACAAACACTGCAGAGAAATGCATTTCCTGTTGCATATGAGGCAATAAAACGTTGAGGGTCAACAGAAGTCTCGCCAACTCTGCAGCCTGGGAAGTTTGTGCCAGATTTTATACTTTGATGTCAACCTGAAGGCTGTGAAAACACGTGGCCTCTGTGATCAGGTGAGTCCTGCTCGTAGTATCGATACAAATCACTGTGGATTTATGGAGATGTGTGAAGATCAGAGTTCTAAAGTAACAAAGTGCAAATTCTTTGTTACTGTACTTAAGTAGAATTTTTGGGTATCTGTACATCACTTGAGTAATTATTTTTTAGCCTACTTTTTCCTTCTACTTCTTACATTTTTACACAATTATCTGTACTTTCTACTCCTTACATTTTTTTTAAAAGGCAAGAAGTAGAAAGTCGTTACTTTTATTTCATTTTTGCTTGTTTTCATTCCAGCTTGTTATTGTAAAAAAATAAATACTACCCATATAAACTGTGCCTCCTTGATAGAGTGAATTTAACTGTGGTTGAATGAGAAGTATAAATATAAAAAACTCTGATGCTGTGTTAGTTTGTACACAAACAAATCATGTCACACTCCAGCAGGACATTATCATTAAAATAAAAGGTCTATTCTACCTTATTCATGTTTAGTAACCGTGATTGGATTGTGAATCCTGAGCAGGAAGATGGATATGTATATATTAATGGGCCAAATGTTTAACTTTTGCTTGTTTTTGTTTAGTTTTGTCCGCTTTTTTTTTTTAAAAATTTATTTTTATTTTATTTTTATTCTATTTTGTTTGTGTTGTTCAAAATCATGGCAAAAATCAATAAATATATGTTGGAAAAAAAAAAAAACCCTCTCTC